TTAGTTCCCCTCCTGTAAACTGTGGGAGATGATGGAGAGCACATCGTGGGGTTTGAGGCCTCGGGTGAGGGTGCCCCTGGCATGGAGAATGGAAACCGTCAGCGCTGGTGACTGGTGCCCTTGGCTGGCGTCTTGAACCAAAGGTCCCAGGGCCAGGTTGGCAAATAGCTGAAGGGAGAAGGAAGGAGCCGGTGGAACATGCATGGGGACATTCTCTCCAGACGGAAACCTGGCAGGAGCCAAGCTGTGATTTAGCAAGAAAATCTGGGTGTGGGGAGAGAGGGAGAAAAGAAGAGGAAGGTTCTGTGGACACCTTGTCCCAAACCCACAACCTGGAGCCCTCCAGCCCTGGTCTCAGCTGCGCTGGGGGCCCCTGCTTCCTCACGCTCAGGACGGACTGTGAATGCAGACTGGCAGCCCTTCCCTCCCCAGAGGTTGGCACAGCCATGCTGGCTGTCAGCTTCCCCAGTTGACACCATCAACTGTGACAACAGCCAAAACTGGGCATCGGGAGGCAGGGGTGTCCAGCACAATAGGCAGAGGCACACGGCCCTGCCACAGCAGCCCCGCTGGGGCACCACGCTCTGTCAGGGCCCAGTCCAGGGTCTTGGGAGGTCAGGGCCCAGGAAGCAGAGCGGGATTTATTAAGCACTTACTGTATGCCGAACGCTGTGCTCAGAGCTTTGTGTGGTCCATCTCATTTAACCCTCTCGGCAACCCTATGAGCTCTGAATAGCTTTGTTTATAAAAGGAGGAAACAGGCCCAGAGAAGCTCCAGGTCATGCAATCGAAGCAGGGTTCGAATCTGACTCCCAGAGCTTAGCGGCGGAGCACACCCGTCAGGCCCTCCGTTTAGAGGAGGGGATGGGAAACGAGGTTCAGGATCAGAAGACCAGGGTTCTCATCCAGCCCCATTTACCCTCTTGGAGCCTCTGTTTCTATCTTAGGTGGTCCCCTCTGCCCAGAGCATGCTCCCCTCCCCCCTGCCTTGCCTGGCTGACTCCCACTTAATCTTTTCAGGACCAGAAGGCTCTGCTGACCAGTAGGTCAGGATGGGATGACCTCGGGTGTGCCTGCATCTGGGCTCCCCACTCCTCCCAGGCCACCTATCTCCTGTTTACCTGTCTGTCTCCACCTGGGCTGTGAGCTTCAGGCTGGGGAGGCCTCTCCTACTCCCACTGAATCTACAATGCCCAGCCCAGCCTCCGCATACTGGATATTTGTGCAGTAGATGAATGAATGGATGAATGAATGAAACCACACAATTTAGTGGCTTAGCCAGACTCAGGGCATATTTAAACTCTTGGAGCAGCCCCCTGGGTCATATCGCCTCAGCCAAGTCTCTCCAGTCCTGGATTCACTCTGGGACATGCCTGTGAAGGAGAATCTGAGGGCGAGGGACTCAGGTTCAGCCCCCGCTCTGCCACCTGATCGTGGTGTGGCCTTGAGCCTCAGCGAACGGGGCTTTTAACAGCATCCGCCTGAAGATGGGTCAGGTATGGTGCATGAAGGTAGCCTTGGGCCTGGACAAGGTGCGGCTCAGCCCCTGGAGGCTGCTCAGTCCAGCAAGCAAGGCTTTGGGGACAGGCTGGACCCCCCTTCTTCCCACTCAGCATTCCGGGGCCAGGGCCACACTCCATCTTCTCTTTGTTCTCGTATCTGGATGTGACTGCTCCCCAGTGAGCTCAGTAACGCCTGGCCCTTCCCCCGAGCTGCCAGCCCCTTCACTCACCGACCCAGAAACCCAGTCGCCCCCGTACCCCAGCCCACTGCCCCTCGAGTGCCCGCAGCCACACCCACATGCCTTCCTCCCCACATCTGCTGATCCCCAAGCCTTTCGGTTCCACAGGCACCCCAGGGGTGGGAACGGGGACAGCGACTCCACAGGCCGCCGCTGGCACTTGGGCACAGTCGTCCCGAAGCAGAAGCAGTGGCACCCTCTCCCCGCGGCACAGCCCACCACAGGGCTTGGGAGGGGTGCCCACCGCTCCACCTCCTGACTGACTGAGGCTTCAGCCAGTCGCGGAGAAGCACGCTGGTCACGCTTACAGGCGGCGGTTGTAAACTACACCCACTCCCCACGTCTGCCCCCTAGCGGCAGGGCGCTCGCTCCGACCGCAGGGCCCAGTGGCGAAGGGAGTGAGCATCACTGAGTCCCTGTGATGGCCACGCTCGGCCTCCCACGTCAACTAGCACAAGCCACAGTTCTGCCCACGAGGATGCTGGGGCTAAAGAGCGAGGGGCTGCCCACGTTCTCACAGGTAGAGGATGGTGGGCTGCTCAGAACACTGGACCCCGCGGCTCCCAGACTCCGAGTGACCACAAGGCTCTCCTTGAGCCGGCCCTGCCCACCTCATCCCTCCACTCCACAGTCCACGCTCCCCACGCTGGGCTACTTGCAGTTCCTTCACACTCCACACTCTCTAGACTCATGGCATTCAACACTGCATCAGGGATATTTTTTAAATATGTTTTTATTGATTTTCTTTTTCTAAGGGAGAGAGAGAGAGAGAGAAACATCGATGCGAGAGAGAAACACGGATGGGCTGCCTCCTGCATGCGCCCCACTGGGGATCGAGCCTGCACCCCGGGCTTGTGCCCTGACTGGGAATCGAACCGGGACCTCTCAGTTCATGGGACAATGCTCAACCCGCTGAGCCACACCGGCCGGGCGGTCAGGGGTTGTTTCTGAAGGGACAGAGCTCCTTGCCCTCTGAGCTTATTGTAGTGAGTCAGACAATGACCAGCTGCCCGCAGGGGTGTGTACAGTGCTCTGGGTGGAGACAGGACTGGAAGGGCCGGCCAGGGAGATGCCACCGGACGGTGGGTGGGACAGTGGGCAGTATTTAGAAGGGTGGTCAGCCTAAGCCTTCTTAGGAAGGTTCCGGCAAAGACCGCAAGGCGAAGAGAGTGAGCCATGGGGTTTGCGCCCTCCGGGCAGAGGGAAGAGCGCAGGGTCCTCAGGAGGGAGCGTGCCTGGTGCCTTGCGGAGCCCACGGCGGCCGCGTGGCTCGTGGAGAGGGCCCCACAGAGGGTCCAGGAGTTAACAGGGCGGGCTGGTGGGAGAGATGGCGCCGGGCCTTCAGGGCACCGGGAGGACCTTGGCCCTGGGAGGGGGGTAGAGGAGGGGCAGAGGCAGGTGCCAGACCCTGTGCTGACCAGGGCAGAAGCAGAGAGAATGAGGGGTAGTGGCAGTGACTCAGGCCGAGGCGATGGTGGCTCCGACTGAGACGGCAGTTCTGAACGGGGGGAGATGTGGTCCAATTTAAATTTTTCCCTTCTCGTTTTATTTTTGTTAATGTGTCCATTTTACTGACGTGTTTTATAAATACAGACTCTAGATGCATTTTGAAGATAGTGCCACCAGGTTGGATGTGGGATGTAGGGTATGAGATCAAGGATCCGACATGCAGGTTTTCGGCCTGGGGGGCTAAGGTGCCGAGGGCCCCTCGGCGGAGCCGGAGCCGGGCGGAGGCGCTGGGGAGCCTGTGCGGCCTCACCTTCCACCCGTCTGACCTCTGCACAGCCCTTGGCCGCCCGCTCCTCACCTTCCAGCTCCCAGACGAGAGGCCAGACCCCAGCAGCCCTCCGGAAGCCGCGCCTGACCCCCCAGACAGTGGTCGTTGCCCCTGGGCCAACCTGATCCCAGCATTTCCCAGCCTGCTCTGGAATCACCTGTTGACTTGTGTTGCCCCAGGTCTGAAAACAACATGGAGTCTGATGCATTTTATTTCTCTGCCCTCAGCCCAGGGCCTCAGTGTGCATTTGCTGAGGGGGTGATGGTTGCCCTTCCTGGACAGCTGGCTTTCCCAGTGAAGGTCAACAGCATCCCTCTGCTGTCCCCAGGCCTGAGGACCAAAGCAGGCCCATTTCCTCTGTTTCACAGAGGAGGAGCTGAGGCCCAGGGAGTCAGTCCTCCATGCTGAGCCCCGCCCGGGCCATTCTTCCTCCTCTGTGGCAGATGGCCAGACACTTCCAGTCCTGAGCTGGACTCGGCGATGGTCAGGAACCCCCAAGGAGTGAGGTGCCTGTCTGGGGCCCGGCCCCCTGGTTCCACGCCTGCCTTTCTGCACCCACTCCGCTCACAGACCTCAAAGACGCTCTCTGATGCCCACAAACCTCAAGCTTCCCTTTTGCAGTTGCAATCACTACAGCACACGTGGGCAAGGGGGAAGGATGGACCGATTACCCCGGGACCATGAATGAAGACCAGTTATGCAGTAAACTATGCTGCAAACCACATCAAAGCTGAGGGACTTAAAACAGCCCTTTAGCTCACAATTCTGCCAGTTGGCAATTTAGCCTGGGCTCAGCCTGGCGTTGTCCTGGTCTCGGCTGGGTTCTCTCGCGGGTCTGTGGTCAGCTGTCAGCTGGCTTTGCTGATCTCGGCCGAGCATTCTCATGTCTGAGGTCTCAGCTGAGAGGACTGGGCTGACCCCCTCCAGCCCAGGTGCTCCCTCCCTCCCGCAGGGTGGCCCAGGCTCTTCCTCATGGTGGAAGCAGGTGTCCAGACCTCCAGAAGCCTAGACCGGGGAACTGGTGGACCGTCACTCCCATGACATCCTATTGACCAATGCAGTCACCAGGCCAGTTCAGAGTTCAGATTCAAGGGCCAGAAAATACTCTACCTCTTGATGGGAAAGGCAGTGTCCCATCGTAAGCAGTGAGGATACAGAGAGGTATGAACAGCAGCAGCTGTCTCTGCAATCCACCATGCCAGTGGGGCATTAAAAAGATCAGGGTCACCTGGCCAGTGTGGCTCAGGGGACTGAGCATCATCCCACAGATTGAGAGGTCCGGTTCAATTCCCGGTCAGGACACATGCCTGGGTTGTGGGCTCGATCCCCAGTAGGGGGCGTGCAGGAGGCAGCCAATAGAAGTATCTCTCTCACATCAATGTTTCTCTCTCTCTCCCTTCCTATCTCTCTTTTTTTAAAAAATCAATAAAAACGTATTTTTTTTTCTAAAAAAAAGAACAGGGTCCACCCAGATTAGATCACTTTAATCTTTAATAGAATTTATGTCTGATGTAACCAGGAGCTTCGAAGTTTGGATGGAAATTGTGGATGCCTCTGATTCCCTCCCCCTTGCCCATTCGTCGACGTCTTCTTGGTCGCGACATCCACTGGCAGCCGAGGGTGCTGATGTTCTCACGCTCTGTCTCCTGAGAGGTGACCATGGGTCAATTTTCTCCCGCCTGAGGGTTTTCAGAAGGCAGCCCTGGAGCCAATGAGAAAGACTGTGAGTGTGCCTCTCAGGTCTGTGACGTGTGCACCACGGCCTATTCTGCAGGCTGGCTCTGCTCACAGCAAGCTCTGGACTGAGGGCCATTCCCAAGCCCACCCTGCCTCCTGATCTGGGGGGGGGGGAGTGGAAGGAAGACCCTGGGGCCTCTTCCCTCCCGGAAACGTCCTGGGATGGGGGTTGGGGCATCTCTCTACGCTGTGCCCTGTTTCACTGCCTCCGGCACTTTCTGCTGTGGGACCGTGTCACTGAGTTACGTATACACTACGGTCTGTCTCCCTCCACAGAATGCCAGGCTTTTGTCTTGATCTCCACCCGCCGAAGCTGAGGGACCAAGGAGCACCCCCCGCCGAACACTGGGGGCGAGCTGCGCGAAGTGAAGCCTGCTGGGACGACGGGGGAGGGCTTCCCAGAGGTGATCCTAGAACAGATGCTGACCGGCAAGGGGAGCCGCGGCCTCCCTAGCACTGGAGCTTGCGCCTGCCACACCGGGGCCGGCTCAAGAGGAGCTGCTTGAAGTTCTTCTCGTAGGTGGGCAGGCTGTCTCTGAAGCAGCTGGCCGACCGCCTGTCGCACTCGCAGGCCCTCAGCCCGCAGTGGCAGCCGACGCCAGGACCCAGGGCACAGTCACCTGCAGAGAGACAGGGCCACTGGGCGCTCCCAGCTCGCTCCCAGGGTTTGGGTCTCAGGTTTGGGAACACAGAGAGCTCGCGGGAAGGGGTCGGGGGCTGAAAACAGAAAAGGGAAGTGACTCGGAGTCCTTTCCCTTGGTCCCCACGGCCTGATCACACCCGGACACGTCACAAACACCGGCATACGCAGCGGCATGGGAGAAAAGGAGAGGAGCGAGGGACTGGGGGCTGCATGGAGGGGGCGCCCCGAGTCAGCGCACTTGGGTGGCACGCAGGCCAAGGTGACGGGACCCATTTCCTCGGGACTCATCTCATGTTTCCAAAGGCTTGCTGGACATCTCTCGCGGATGACTCAGGTATGAGCAACTTAGGACGCCCCAAAGGAATTCATGACATGCGTGCCCCCTCCGCCCATCGGGCCTGTCCTTCGCCCACACTCTTGGCTCAGGGACCTGCACCCCCTCCTACTCGAGCCTGAAAACTAGCAGCCAACCTCCTTTCTTTGCCTTTTCACCTCCAGTCCGCCAGCAAGTTGCATTGATGTCTCTGATTAAAACGGCCCTGCTCCGTCCTCTTCTCCCAGCCTCCAGCCTCCACCCAACCCCTGTCATCCCAGCTCCTCCTCCCTCATAGGAGGGAAGAAGCAGGGGCCTTCTTCAAATGTAACCTGGGTTCGTCCAGTCTCCTGACTGAAGCCCCGAGATGGGTTCCCACTCCTTGGGGAAGACACCCCAAGTCCTTGCCATGGACGCCAGAGCGGGCTCGCCAAGACCTGGCCCCCGCCAGCTTCTCCGTCGTCATCGGCCCTCGCTCCGCCACCTTCGCTCTCTGCAGGCACTCTGGCCTCTTGTGTCCCCTGTCTCGCTCTGCCTTGTCCCAGGGCCTTTGCACTCACTGTCCCCTTTGTCTAAAACAGTTATCTTCAGGATCCTCACGTGGCTGGATTCATCCCACCCTTTGGGCCTGGGTCAAATCTGCCCTTGTCAGAGAGGCTCCCCAGGACCACTGCCTGAGGCTCCCTCTTACACCCCTGGTTATTCCGTAACGGGCACTCCTCTTATTGATTGAGCTGCTTCTGTCTGTCTCTCCTCGACGGAGCTGGACTCTGTGAGACTGGGGCTTTGTCTTGTCCATCACAGTATCCCCAGCATGTAGCACAGATGCCGGCACATAGTAGGTGCTCAACAAATAGTCATTGACTGAAAGAATGAATGAAACCTGCACTGGCCTTTGGGATCCAGTGTCTACTCTTTGGCCAAATCACTACTAGGCGGGGTCTTTTATTTAGTAGTGAGAGCTGTACTGCTCTGTGTGAGAGAGAGAGAGAGAGTTGGGGGGGGGGGGTCTAAGGCACAGCTTTCTCTTTCTAGACAACTCCACTCGGTCCTACTCTCTTTTGAGGGTTGGGGGTGAGCTCTGTTGAATCTGGGCAAGTTAGCTTCAGTATCCTTATTTATAAAATGGTTATAAAAATAATAGTGTCAAAAATAAACAACCGTGCCTGCTTCATAGTCTGTGAGGGTTTTTGTCACTGTTGGCAGATGGCACGGTTGGGTGTGCCCGGCGCACACAATGCTGTACAAATGTCTGCTATGATGACGACGTGCCCTCGGGCTCACGTGTCGGACCAGGAAGACCCAGCGCTGGCCCCAGGCTGTCTGCCTGCCCGGCTCCCTCTCCCAGGCCCACGATTCCTGCAGGGACCGTCCTCCTCCATCCCCCTGAGGACGCGAGTTTCCGTGTGCGTACCCCCTCCGCCTCAGCACCGCCCTCCACTCACCCTCGGGCTGGACCCTGCCGGGATGTGCCCGCCTCTGGTTCTCGGCTCCTGCCGCCTGGATCGCCTTTGCCCTCACACCCCTCTGCCAGACCCAACACGCCCCAGCACTCCCGGGGACCCCTCACGAACCCCCGTCCACATCCAGGTCCAGGTCTGTCACCTCGGCTGCACCCAGCGTGCCCCTTTCGTCCGTCCCTGGGCAGCCGTTGCCTTAGGCAGGGCCCACTTGGGCTATGGCTGGTCCTCTTAGGGGAGGTGGGTGACTCGGGCACAGGGTCCCACCCTGTTCACCCTCACTCTGCCCCCGAAGGGCCTGGCGACATGTGAACCTGAGTGACACCCTTTCTCACCCTGCCTCGCCCACCTCCTCTCCCTTTCCTGCCTCTTCTTCTCCAGCTCTCCTTCTGCCATCTCAATTCTCCGAACTCCCCTTCCTGTCCCTCACGCCCCCTTCCGGCCTCGTCTCCCGAGCCTCCCCAGCGCCTGCAGCACGGTTCTGTCCTGACACTCAGTTCTGCGTCCGAAGGCTTGCCCAGTCCCTGGCCCCGGGACGTGGTCCTGAGCAGCGGTCTGTGATGTGGGCTGCGTCTCTGCAGGCACCCATGGCCGTGGGAGGAGCTGGCTCGCCATGGCCCAGAGGAAGGGACAGCCCTCGGTCAACCAAGGCCATTTCCACAGCCATCCTTTCAAAACAGGCCTACATCGCCCTGGCCGGTGCTCAGCGGTTAGAGCGTCAGCCCCCGGACCGGGGAGTCCCGGGTTCAGTTCCCGGGCACGTACTTGGTTGCTGTTTGTCCCCCTGCCCCCGTTGGGGTCGTGTGGGTGGCGACCACTCCATGTGTCTCTCTCACGTTGATGTTTCTCTCTCTCTCTCTTCCTCCCCTCCTCCCTCCCACTCTATCTGATGATAAAGGCAAAAATGTCCTCAGAGGAGGATAAAACAACAACAATACAAAGCAGGCCTACAGCCAGATCCTGCGCCCCCACTTTACTGAGGAGGCATGACAACTGGAACTGACAACTGGAACTGACAGCTTCAAGACACTCGTTCTCATCCCGTGAAGCACATGTCCACAGGTGAGACAGAGCAGGAAGGCCCGCATCCTGCCTGGGGCTACCCAGACCTCCTGCCAGGCCTCTGTGGGGGTCTCTGAATCCTCCCCTGGGGGGCCCTTGTTCCATCTCCGGGCCTTAGACACGGCTGAGCACTGGCGACCCTCCTGTGCTCCTGCCAGCCCAGATGCGTCCCTGGTTGTGGGAGGAACTGGCCACGGCTCTAGACTCCAAGCTCCGTCCCCTCGGCTCCCCTCCTGCTTTCTGACACGCGTCTCAAACCCCACATGGCCCCTGACGAGCTCGGCTGTGTCTTCATGGTCTGCCCTCCCCCCATCCGCCCGAGCCCAGAAGGGGACGCCATTCTCCATGGCTGCTCAGGCCGAGAACCTCGGGTTCAGCCTGTCTCCTTCCCGCCCCACCTCTAGTCCATCAGCAGGTCCTGTCAATTTACCTCCAAAACACGCCCAGCATCTGACTCCTCTCCATCTCCACACCACCACCCTGACCCAAGCTGTGGTGACTCCCCGCAGTGCTACTGAAACAGCCCACTAACGGCTCCCCCTTCTCCTTCCCCGACTTCTCTGCAGTGGTCACAGTGATCTTTCTAAGGCAAAATCGGTGCAGATCACTCCCTGCTTCCAAGGATCCAACGGCTTCCCCTGCAACTGAAGTGGAAAGTGATCTCCTTGCCCTGTCCCCCAGTCCTGTGGGACTCGTCCCCGTCCAAGGTCCGGCCTCCCCGCCCCTCTTCCTGTCTCCTCTGCTCCCACCGCACTGGCCAAATGCCGCCCCCGCGGAGAGGTCTTCCTTAGCCGCACTTCCCTCCCCCTGCACTCTGCACCTTGCCACCTTGTTTCAGATGCTTTGTAGCACTTGTCACTACCTGAATGTGCCTTTACTTCTGAATGTTTTATCACCTGTCTCCCTCCTTAAACACAAGATTCTTCCAGGCAGGGAGTGGTCGCGTCATTGCAGATCAGCCCTGAGCACACAGCAAACACACCGTCTACCTGCTGCTGCCTCGCTGGCTGGACTGACCTGCGGGCATGGAAGGAGCCCCATCCCAGGAAGCAGGAAGCCAGGCCCCGGGGCCAGACCTGCTGCCCACATGCTCTGGGATCTCAGGGGCCTCTCCCCAAGCCTGTCGCTCCGCTTTCGAATGGGGATAAGGATGCCTGCATGGATTAGTTAATGTTTTTTCATTCATTCACTCATCCAACAAACAGGTATTGCGTTCCTGCCACGGGTCTGGCCTCCGGCTAGGATCTGGGGTACAGGTCTGAGTGATCAGACCCCACATTGCACAGCTCCGGGGCACCCTCCTCCGTCCGTGGGTGTGCCCCTGAACGAGACACACTTGTCCCCTGCTCTCCCGGAACTCATTTTTTTTTTTATCCTCACCCAAGGACATGTTTGCATTTATCTTCAGATAGAGCGGGAGGGAGGGAAGGAGGAAGAGAGAGAGAGAAAAACGTCAATGTGAGAGAGACACATCGACTGGTCGCCACCCACACGACCCCAACCAGGGCGGGGGACAAACTGCAACCGAGGTGCGTGCCCTTAGCAGGGAACCAAACCCAGGACTCTCTGGTCCGCGGGCGAAGCTCTAACCGCTGAGCCAAACCGGCCAGGGCCCAGAATTCAAATTTTATTGGGGTGAAGTTGATGCAGAAGGAAACAAGACTGTTTCAGGTGGAGACAGATGCTGGCGGAGAACAGTGGTGTTGTCAACAAGTAGAAGTGTTGGGAGAAATTAACTCAGTAGTAGAGGAGGAAGATCTCAGCGAACAGCAAATGCAATGGTTACCAAGCCCACCTTTCCCCTCTGGCAGAGGGAGAAGGCCCGTTGGCAGCAACCGGTTTCTGCCAGGCTCCTCCCCACACAACATATGCATGTATGTGTGGGTGGAGGGGGCTGTCACCACTGGCTGATCTTACGGGCCTTCGCAAATGCCAAGTACTTACGTAAGCCCGCTCAGAGGAGGCATAACAACCTCCCTGGTTGCCGGAGGGCAGCCTTCCTTACCTGGCAAATTGGCCCCGGGGCTCGGGTTACAGGCCTATCTCTGCACTGATCTCCGAGTGACATTTAGACATGTGGACAGACCAAGCTGTTTTTCTCCCTTCCCTCCCCTTCTCACCAACTGCATCCCCGAACAGCCACTGGTTGCTAGGCAACCTGGGACTGGGCTTGGGCAGGGTTTCAGAACTGGAGGCTGGGAGGTGATTAGCCATTGCAGGGCGGCTCTCTGATCTGCCCTGTCACTGGGGAGAGGGGCGTGAAGAGCTTTTATTCTGTAAGGAGCTCATGGCTTTAGCTCCAGGAGACGCTTCGGAGAATCTCTCAACAGTAGTAAAGAAGAGCCCAGTACTCCCACAAAGTGAAGGGGAAGGAGCACCGGATGAACAAAGCCATCTCAACTTCGGAAAAGAAGGGCATGACCTAAGCACCTGCTATGGGCCAGAGCTGTTAGTGGGGTTACTTTCGTCGCTCCTTACAGTGACCTCATGAAGTGCATGTTATTATCTCCATTTCACAGATGGGGAGCCTAAGGCCCAGGTGGTTTTGCAACTATTCAGCGAGAAGGGGTGAAGCTGGGATTCGGACGCAGCTCTGCTCAACTCCGAAGCGTCGCTCTGTCTGGGCCTCTCGGCAGGGTACACAGAGCTGGCACAGACAGAGCTGGGCACTGCAGAGGAGCAAACGCCTCCTGCCCTGGGCCAGGGCTGAGCATCCTGATGAGTCTGCTGCAGACAGGGAGCCTTGCTCTGTGGGTCCCCTGATCAAGTGCACCCATCACCCTCCTGGCAGCCCCTGCCACTGGGGAGGGCGGTGTGAGGCAGGGGCACCAGCTCTGGGGTCAGCGGACCCAGGTCTGAAGCCCGACTTTTCTTTCCCTGGCTGTGTGACCTTGGCCATCTCACTTAACCTCTCTGAGCCTCAGGGTCTTCCTCGATAATGGTTTGTCATGGGGGTCCCAGGTGCTGTCACAGACACTCATAACCCACAGCTATTGTAATTACACCTGTTTTAGGGATGGAAAGACCGAGGCCCAGAGAACGCAGGCCAGGCGGTGTGTTCCAGAGCTCTGGAGAGGCTCGAGACACAGATGTTCTCGTCCTTTCTGTCACTTGGATCAAGCTCCCCACCCCACCCCCGGCCTCATTCCCCCTGTCACTACAATGAAGGGTGGGTCTGGGTGGTCTCTAAGGGCTCCTTCAGCTCCAGAGAATACCAAGAGAGCCAGGCCTGAGGCTGCCTCGTTCAGTGCCTCCAGTCCCTGGCACAGTGCTGGCCCTGCATGGCCACCCAGTGGGCACTCAGTCATTACTGGGCAAGGGCATGGATGTGTCTGAATCTCCCTTAAGGTCTCAGTACCTATCAGCAACAAATCCAGGATTAGAACCCAGATCACCCAGGTCCCAGCCCTGTACCAGGTGGGGATTAGGGCCCCGGCAGGGTGGGTGGGGACAACAGGCCTGGTACCGCTGAGGAGGGGGTGCTGACATGCTAATTCCCTGAGCAGAGTGCTGGCCTCCAGGAGCTCTGATCAGGTTTCAGGAGCAATGGGCCACCGTCGCTCAGCAGGGGTGTCCAGCTCCCAGGTCCTGCCTGCACCTCCTGCCACCACTCAGCATGTGCCAAGCAGAGGGCATTTCTGCAGGCCACCAACTGGGGCCCCAGCCGTGTTCCAGGCCACTCTCCTCTACCTCCTCCACCACACGGGAAGTGAAGGGGCTGGTGAAGGAGCTCCCCCAGCAGCAGAGTGCCCAGGCTGGCCCTGGTGGGCACAGCCAGCCCACAGCACCTGAGGGCAGAGGCGTGGTCTGGGCCGGGCACTGATGTGTGGGAAGGTCCTTCGCACCTACTGAAGTTGCGTTTCCCTCCTCAGAGCACCCTTCCCTCTCCCTCGGTCCCTGTGCTTTATCGGGACATCAGAGAAGAGAGACTCTTAAGGACATTTTCTCTAAAACGGATGCCTTTCCAAGCATTTAGGAGAACACCTGACATGGCAGATGCTAAGATCGAGATGAAAAGGTGAGGAGAAACCAGCGAGAAGAAAGCAAGACCGTGAGCCGGGCTGAGAAGAGAGCCAGGGGGCATCTGAGCTGTGTGCCCCTTCCCTCACCCACCAGCAGCCAGGCCTGCCCCACCCCTGCCTCCACATCCCGGATGTGGAGCCGGAGGGGTTGATGGAGGTGGCCAGAAACTCGGCCAGGCCTCCAGAGGGCATCAGTTGCCACAGCAAACAACACTTTGGGGGCAACCTGCTCCGGCTCCCCCTGCCCTGCCGTGCTCTAGGCCCTGATCCCTTCCCCTCTCCTTGGACGTGACCTTGGGGTCTCATAGAAGAGACACTTTGCCTTGGCCTGAGGGCAGCCATGGCCAGAGAGCCCCCAGCACAGAAGTCTCCTTGAGCCCACGTGGAATCAAGGGGGTGTCTCCCCACTGACAGGGACTGTGGCGTCCGAGAAGCAGACGGAGCTGAAGCTGGCCCTCCCAGGCAGGGGTCTGCGCTCCCAGCCCACTGTTTCCGGTCTCACCGCTGCCGCCAGGAGACTGCACGGTCTCGGCGCATCTTGCTTGGTGTGTCCTGAGCCAGAACGCTGGGTGGGGACGCTGAGCACCCCCTGTAAGGGGGGAGATGAGGGACAGGGAGACAGCGGTTCCCCAACCTCTGGAGAAGACGCGGACTCCAAGCACACTCACAGCTGTGAATAAACGCGTGGGGGGGAGGAGTTCCTGTTGCCCCATAGGTGAGTCGCACACTCTCGGGGGGGGGGGGGGTTCAACCACCAACTGCTGGAGTGAGAGGCATTCACAGGGGGCTACAGCCCAGGGCTCTCAAGGGTGCAGCTCTCTGGACTGAGCTTGCCCTACCCACATCCACGCCCACCAGCCCCGAACATCCCGGGACATCGGGGCCACACCCTAGGTGCTGGACATTCAGTTCTTGCCCGCCCTTGTCCCTTGCCCTCCTGCTTGAATGGCCTTGATGACATGTGAGTTCCCTTCCCGTCCCCACCTATTGACTTCCATGTCCCCCACGGCACCCATCACAGGGCTGGGTGTGCCATCACCCTTGCCAAATATTTGTTCAACGGGAAGCCAGCCGAGCTGCCTCATGCACACGCGACAGACGTGGCGAGAAGGTTCTCGGCAGCAACAGGTGCCGAGCGAAGCTGCAAACTCCCACATCATCTCAAGTCAACAAGCATTACTGAGCACGCGCTACACCGCTCCGTGCTCCCAGGCGCTGGGCGCGGGGTGGGCAGGAGCCACGGGACACACGAAGCAGGGACTCCCGGGAAGCGTTCTCGGAACGGCCGCTTGCCATCTCAAAGCACGTGGGAAAATCTCCCTCCCTGAATGTTCTCTGGGCGCACGAGGAGGCAGACATGAAGCGAAGGCGGGGGTCCCAGGGCATCGCCCCACGGGGAGGCTACTCACAGACCACGGTGCGGTTGACGATGTGGAACTGGTAGCTGCTCAGCAAGGGCTGGCAGCCCAGCTGCTTCAGCTTCTCGTAGCAGCAGTCGTGGGCCCGGCAGCACCTGGGGGCCGGACCAGAGCGGGAACAGGGGCTTCACCATGAGAGGGCCCTGGGGGGTCAGCTGGAGGCCCTTGGTGGGAAGGACTCACCTGCCTCCTCCCCTGGACGAGAAGGGGCTGAAGGTAGGGAGGTACACTAAAAAAATGCTAATCTTACACATACTGTAAATAACCACTCACATTTGCTGAGCCCTGTTCAATCCCTATCGCATTAGCTCCTCACACTAACCCTATGAAGTGTGATCACTGTCCCCATTTCATAGGGGACGAAATGAGATTCGGAGGCGAATTTCCCAAAAGTTCACAGCTGGAAAATGATGGGCTCGGGACTCAGCTTCAGGTCTGTGTACTCATTCATGTGCGTAATGACTTTTTACTGAGCACCTACTACCTGCCAGGCACTGTGATGGTCTCTGAGGGGATAGTTGTCAGCAAGAACACAGAATGCTTTAGTTCTTGCTCTCGTGGTGTTCAGAGAGACAAGGGGCAGGGGTGGGCAGAAAGGGAAAATGTTTGAGGAAAAAGCTTGGGCATGGCCTCGGCTCATCTGTTCAGCCAGTATACGAGGGGCAGAAATGCAGAAACCTGGGACTGGATTCTAAGACACGGGAAAGAAAATGCCCTGGCTGATGCCCTGGGCCAGTCACTTCTGTCTTGCTCTCTCCCCATCCCATCTGCAAACAGGCTCTTTGGCATCTGTCATCTTTGGCTAAGAGTGTCAAATTTCTCACCCACCTTTGAACTTGGACAGGGGAGGCACAGAGCATCAAAGGGCCTGGATTTTTAAAACAGACACACTCTTGTTCAAATTCTGACTTTGCCACCTGGTTGCTGCGTATCTTTGGGTTTCACCACTCGGGTTTCATGAGCCCTCAGTGTTGCCACCTGTAAAATGGGGATGGTAACCCTGCCCCGGCCGTTTGCTGTGAGGATTAAATCACGTCTAGCGTGCAAATCACCGATCCCAGTGCTTGGTCCACGACGGGCACTTCATCAGTGTGGGGTCCCCTCCAGGGCTCTGGGTCCTTCCAGCTGGAACATTCCATGTCTCAGGAGCCCAAGCCAGAAGGATCAAACTCTAGGAGTAACAGTTCAGGCCCCGTCGCGGGGACATTTTATCCTGGCTGGGTTTAAAGTGGCAAGGAACGTTTTGTTTCTTACTTCTTCCAATGAAATGACTCGCACACTCTCCTGTGTTCTACCACCCAGACCCGGGATGATGACACGAACCTCCCTTTTCCAGGTACTCCCACCCCGACCCCCGTCCTGGGGTAGGCCTGGCAGCCAGTTTGAGCTCACCCAGGTGGATAACCTTTCCAAACTGGCCACTCGGAGTCTCTCTCCTGGAATACGAGATCGGGACTGGGAGACAGCGGGCCAGTCTTGCTGCACCTATAATCCTAAACCCTGGGGAGCTGAGAGAAGACCCCGTTCGCCCTAAGAATCGACAATGTTTCCAGCGCTCGGAGCAGGACTGACTCCATAGTCTGCAAGGCCTGGCGCCAAATGGAAACCTGAGAGTTCCCGAGGGGTGCAGGTCCCTGGGAATACTGGTCCTACGCAGCTGCCCGGCCACGCATCCCGGAAGCCAGCCCTGGTCCGGTTCCTCCAGACCTCCCTCCGATCCCCATTCAGTTTTTCTCTCATGCTCACCTGCATTGGTTTCTGTTACCTGCAACGCAGGAGTCCCGATACCCTCCCTCTCCTTAAACATGGATTTCAATGCAAATTAAATGACAGGAGGCCTTGGAGCTTCCCCACTCACCTGTCGGTGTCGTCCACTGGGGTCCCTTTGCCCCCGAGCCCACAGTAGCAGCCATATCCATAGTATGTGAAGAAGGCACTCCGCCCGGTGACGAGCTTGACCATCCTCTGGAACTGCCAGAAGCTGCTGTGGGTGGGGCCCATCACTGCCAACGAGAAAGTTCCGGAGAAACAATGCTGCGAGCAGCGCCCCCTGGGGTTCCCTCGCTGGAGAGCCTGGCAGTCGGTATCGGGAGCCCCCTAAGCTGGTGCATCAGCGCGCTGCGGTCATTGGCCCTTTAACAGGGAGGAGGTAGGATCAGACCCACACAGCTAGTTTCCTGCGCGTCCAGAGGAGAACCCAGTTTCCATGCTACTCAGAACTATACTGTCAACTACAGTCTCCCCGAAAGTGGAGAACCACTCACCTCGGCAGAAACTCCCTCAGGCCTGGTGTTCAACGTTAAGGGGAAAAATTCAAGGCCATGCCCTGACCGGTCTGGCTTAGTGGCTACAGCATCGGCCCTCGGACCAGAGTCTCGAGGTCGATTCCGGTCAAGGGCACGTACCTCAGCTGTGGTTGGGTCCCAGCCCTGGTCAGGGTCGTGCAGGAGGCAACAGTCGATGTGTCTCTCTCACGCCAATGTCTCTCTCTCTCTGTCTCTCTCTCTCCCTGCCTCCCACTCTATCTGAAGATGAATGGAAAAATATCCTCGGGTGAGGATTAAAAAGAAAAGTCAAGGCCGGTTCTGCCCATCTCTACAAATATCATGGGCATTTACAATCTCACAGGAGAAGCAAAATACTTAAGAGGCAGAAATGATAACCTCAGTCCATTCATCCATTTTTTTAAATGGCAAAGACACGCGGAGCCAGCAATATTTACTTCTAAACATGTTTACAAAAGTGCCGCAGCGTTATCTGTGATATCAGAAAACTGGAAACTGCCCTGGCCGGTGTGGCTCAGTCGGTTGGAGTGTCGTCCCAAAAGGTGGTGGGTTCGATTCCTGGTCAGGGCACATACCCAGGTTGTGGGTTTGATCCCCCATTGGGGCACATGCAGGAGGCAGCCGATAGCTGTTTCTCTCATATCCACCGGCAGGGGATAATAACTAAATGATGTCTTGAAAATATACTACGTTTAATAGCAATACCTATAAGCATCGGGATTGAGGAGGCAGGTGGAGAGAAAAACAGGCAACATTTACTTTACATACTTTTATCTGTCTGATTCTTTTTTAAAAATGAGCACATATTACTTTTCCATGAAAATGTTTTAGATGCATGTGTAAAGGCCTGGAGGATGTGTCATATGTGGGGTGCAGAAGAAGGACGGGGGTCTGGGAAGGGTGAGAAGGGGCTTTGTTCTGTTACTCTCTACTCACTGATTTTAGTTTTTGTTTTTTTAATTCTCACCTGAAGATATTTTTCCATTTATCTTCAGATAGAGTGAGAGGGGGAGAGAGAGAGAGAGAAAAACATCAACGTGAAAGAGACACATTGGGTGGCTGCCACCCACACAATCCAACCAGGGCTGGGGACAAACTGCAACCGAGGTACATGCCCTTAGTGGGAACCGAACCCAGGTCTCTCTGGACCGCAGGCCGACGCTCTAACTGCTGAGCCAAACCGGCTAGGACACTTATGTTGCTTTTTAATTACATGCATATGCTAATTTTGCCATAAAAATAAAATAAAAAATAAAGTTGAAGAAGAAAAACAGAGACAGAGGGTTTGAGGACATTTCCCCAGGAGCCTTCCCATCTCATGCTGAGGTCTGGCCGCCTTGTCACTAAGCATCAAAGAGGGGGCCGAAGCCTGGGGCGGTCACTGTGCCCGAGGCCCCAGAGCGAGGGCGGGACCTGCTGTGGAAGTGGCTCTGCCTGCGTAGGGGTCCCCCACACCATGACCTTGAAAACCGTAAATTCCACCACCAAGGGAAAATGAGAACCCCGTTTCTGACATTTTGACTTAGGGACCCACAAGTTATTGCTCCACAGCTGAAACAGATAGAGAAGTGGATTTAGACAAATCTCTGCACAACTAACTAAAGAGTCGGAGTTTCCCACATCACCCACGCTGCCTCCACCAGGTTCTTTTCACGTTGCAGGGGTACCGACCCGGCCCCCCGAGAGCAAGGCCTTACAATTCCCAGTCACTCCCTATAAGAACGCCTTCCTGATGGAAAATAACTGTTCCTGAATTAGCTAAATGTACGTCTGTGGTTTTGTCCTGGAATCCACACGACTTTAAATAAAGGCAACTAGCATCCCAAGGAAAGACCCCTGAAGGGGTGTGTTTGGCAAAATAGCCAAACGCCCTCTTTCTTAGCCGATGGTGGCAAACCTTTGATTTCCCAGAAGTTTGGGGGGGTCCCAGCACTGGCATCAACCCATTTTGCAGAGGAAACAGAAGCAGGAGGACTTTGGGGAGCCTCTTCTTCTCCTGATCCTGATTTCCCCTCAGCCCGTGCCACCTCAGGAGGGACAGGACGACAGCACCTGGGACCTCTCCCAGCTGCTCACTACTTACAGCAGGAGGTGAAGACCACGAGAACCCCGAGGACCTTCATTCCCGGGGAGACCAGGGGGCCGAGGGGCCAGGATCACAGTTCCCTCTGGTCGCAGGGGTCAGCCAGCTGAACGCCTGTCCGGGGAGGAAATGACCAAAATGAGGAGAGTCCGTGAGGGTGGAAAACCCCAGCTGCAGTGCGGACCTTGGAGGACCCTCCATGGAGTACCCAGAGCAAAGAGAGCTTTTAAAACCCAGTTATCTCTAAACGGGATACTCTTTCTGGTATTTAGACCTAAATACAAAGATAAGTCTTTAGTTGCTTAAAAAGTGCAAGTGTTTCCCTGGCCGGTTTTGCTCAGCAGTTAGAGCGTCGGCCTGCGGTCTGGAGAGACCTGGGTTCAGTTCCCGCTAAGGGCACGTACCTCGGTTACAGTTTGTCCCCAGCCCTGGTTGGGTCGTGTGGGTGGCACCCACTCGATGTGTCCCTTTCATGTCGATGTTTCTCTCTCTCTCTCTCCCTCCCACTCTATCTGAACAAAATATCAAAAAATGTCCTCGGGTGAGGATAAAAAAAAAAAAAGTGCAAGTGTTGTTTTTTTTCATTTCTTTCTTTGGCAACAGTAGCCCTTCATCTTGTTTTTTTTCTTTTTATCCTTTTGAGGGTCCGTATTTCTTCATTCCCAAGCGTAAAGGCACATGTGAGGTCCGTGATGGAGACCCCATTCAGGCAAGTGGAACCCCGCTGGCACGGCAGCAACCCCACCCGCCCCCCATGTCTCCTTCCTTGATGCCCTGGTATCTTTTTCATCAAATTAGCCCCTGGGTTTCCTCTCCTTAAAGTGAGACTGAGAACGCCCAGCAAACATTTCCAGCATTTCCAAAGAAATGACTGCATGCCAGGTGCCCTTTTCTCTGAAGGCTTCATGGGCAGGACATGATTTAATCCTCAGAAAAACTTGAGAGGCCCCATCATCATTTTAGAGGTGGAGAAACTGAGGCTCAGCATCTGAACGACTTCCTTGCTAAGCCCCCGATGGCGCAGACGTGTGGGGACCCCCCGAAATAACGCAGTAAAAGTGGTTTGTACTAGAAATTGCTCTGACGGGTAAACACATCCTTCCTCTCGCCATCAGCGATGGTGATGGTGCCCATGTTTGGCACCCTTCCCATAGGACAGCGGAGGGAAGGTGGGCTCAGTGCCCCACCTTGTCACGGGGAGCCCCCCGATCAGCCAACAGCTGTCTTGAAGTAGAAGTCCTTACACGCCTGTCATAAATCAAGCTAAATCTGAGCATCAGGGCTTGGCGTGTGAGCAACGGCTCGGCTGAGCCTAGAGGCCGTGGCAGGAGCAGAGCTGGCCTTCCGCTCTGTGGCAGCGTCTGCCAGGTAAACTTCTAAACGAGGGTCCTGCCGCAGAGCCCTGGGAGAGGGACCAGGCGTCTCTGCCATTTGCCCTCCTGGGCAGGATTCTGGGGGACGCTGCCGGCCTGGTCCCAGCCCGCCTTCCGCTCAAGCCCTGTGCAGGACGTTTCTAAATTAGGCCCCAGCGCTACAGGCTGGCTTCCATTTTCCTGTTTGAGTCTTTAGAAATAAGTGTATGGTGGGTTCGTTTATGAGGAAGGGACTCACGTCTTTGCCATGAGCAGGGGACAGCACTGGGGAGAGAGAATAGGGAGCCGGGTGCAATGGCACAGACTCTCACTGGGCACCCACTGTGTGCTCTTCCAGCCGACAGGGTTCTGGCCCGAGGAGCGCCGCTGAGCTGGCTGGGAGACCAAATGGGTAACTAGAGACCCAATACAGACCAGAAGCCCAATGTGGGGAGAAATTCCTTGTTTGGGTCGCCTTTGTTTTTGGAATGTTTAGCCCAGTCTTTGGTAGGTCCCCTCTTCAGGGACGGGACCTATCCCTGACACTCACACTGAGAAATGCCTCTGCTACAGGGGACTGTCTGGTTCAAGGTTATGACCCCTCCTGGTGAGGGGAGTAGGAGTCACCCCTAGCCAATGCCGCTCTCAGGTAATGATTTAAAGAGCTGTCCCTGCCCTGGCCGGTTTGGTTCAGCGGTTAGAGCATCAGCCTGCGGACCAAAGAGTCACAGGTTCGATTCTGATCAAGGGCACGTACCTCAGTTGTGGTTCTGTCCTTGGTTGTGGTTCAGTCCCCAGCCCTGGTCGGGGCCATGCCAGAGGCAACCAATCAATGTGTCTCTCTCACATGGATGTTTCTCTCCCTCCTCTCCCCAGTCTTCCCTTGCTCACGTCCCAGCAGGGTCTCTCCCGGCTTCGCCCAGCACTGCATTTCCCCCTCCCAGAGGCTGGGTCTGGGGAGGCCAGTCTAAGCCTGTGCAGAGTGAGGAGCACTGCACGAGAGATTGTATAATAAATGCCTTTGAGTTCAGAGGCAGGAGCAGTGAACTCACCTCCAAAAGGAGGTGGTATTTGAGGGGGCCTGGGTTTACCTTAAATTTGCATTCTGCTCCTGTACACTCCTCACTACAACCCCAGCCATTTGAGGTGAGAAACCAGAGCTCAGAGAGAGGGACCTGAAAAAGATCCGCACAGCTACCTAGTGGCGGGGCCAGGGCTTAAGCTCCGGTCCCTAACCCCAGGCCAGTGCTCTGCACCTCGCCAGACCCCTGACGAGACTGCTTGTTCATGAAGCATTTAGAGGGCCACAGAGCATTTCACAGACACGGACCTTCACGGCTATGACTCAGGCAAGATGGACGTGGTTTTGTCCATGTGAGCAGTCGCTGTGGGAGTTTTGGATTGTGCAGAACCAAAACCAAGAGGCCGGAGACTTAATGAAGGGCGAGAGCGTGGTGGGGAGCAGGGCATGGCCTCCTATGCCAGCCTCTGGGGCAGCAGCCAGCAAGGTGGCGAGTGCCTAAGAGCTACCCTCTCAGACCATCAATTCATCTTACACAGACGAAACGCCGGTTGGCTTGTTCTCCAAGGAGAAGCTAGGGAGGACGGAGCCTGAACGATCTGTAGTCAAGGCTCGTTCCATTCTGTTCATCTGTTTATCCCCAGAGTCTAAGTAGCACAGAGCCAAGGACACACTAGTACCAATGATAAGGGTGGTAACACTTGAATCACGCTTATTTTATACCTCGCACAGTTTCTGAGCACTTCACATGCATTTACTGATTAAGTCCCCAGCCAGGGAAGTACTGTTATTGTCCTCATTTTTCAGATAAGGAAACTAGGCACGGAAAGATGGGCAGTAAATAAATACTTGGGGAATGAATGAATGGATGATGGGAGTACTTCATGCTTCAAGTTACAGAAATAAAAAACAAAACTACAACCTACTGAGGACCAGCACGGGGCAAAGCACAGTCCATGGATTATCTCCTTGAATCCTCTTGGAATACTCCCAAGGAGACACAGACAATCCACCCCAGCTTACTGATGAGGGGATAGAGATGGGAAGAAGTTAGTCACTTTGCCCTACAAACCGACAGAGCCAGAACTTAACCCAGGTGTGTCTGACCCCAAAGGTGGCGCCCCCCGCTCCTCAGCAGTTCTCCTCATACCTGTGGGTCGAGTGAAGGGCTGTACCTATCCAAAACACAGCTGAGGAGACCCAACCAGACGACCTGAGCATCCAGGCGGATGCCACAACACTCTTATTTCAGACAGTGCTACACAGCATCAGCTTCTCTCTCTCTCTCTCTTTTTTTAATCCTCACTCGAGGACATTTTTGCATTTATCTTCAGATAGAGCAGGAGGGAGAGAGGGAGGAAGAGAGAGAGAGAAACATCGATGTGAGAGAGACACATTGAGTGGCTGCCACCCACACAACCCTACCCGGGGTCGGAGACAAACTGCAACCGAGGTACGTGTCCCTAGCAGGAATCGAACCCGGGACTCTCGGGTCCGCAGGCCGACACTCTAACCGCTGAGCCAAACCGGCCAGGGCACATCAGCCTCTCTTTGCTCACACCCAGAGGTTGAAGAGGAATGAAGGTCGAGAGGCGGCTCTCAGTAGGAAGGCAGAGGGGGAGAAATGGTTAAAACAACAGCTGACCAAGCCTTCGAACCTGGGGCACTGAGTGTCGGGGCAGATGGCTCTAGCCACATCAACAGCATTGTTTCTGGAGCACAATTATGGCCTTTATGTCACCAAGAAAAGGTTTCATTTTGCCAGAGACTGCAAAGGTGAAAAGCATGTAAGCTCCTGCCTTCAGCCCAGCCCTGGGGCGGGTGGCGGGGAGTCATTTAGACTTCAAGCAGCCCCATAGCCTTGGGGGGTACCAATTGGCCGCTTCTGTTTTGGAGAAGAGGGCTGGAGCTGGGCTTAGCTCCCTGAGCCCTAGCTTCTTCATCTGTGAGGTGGAGACAATGACCCTGACCCCCATGGACCGCTGGCGCTTGGGCAACAGTAGCCAAGGTCAGCTGCTGCATCTGACATGTTCTGCTTAAGGTAACCGGGCAGTAGGCAATACATTTTCCAGTTTTCTAATAATATGGGGGAAATAGTAAAAGAACTGTAGCACTTCAAGGGGTAAGTTTCATTACCTGGAAACTTCCCTCTTGCAAGTCCCCTCTGGAAGCTGACCCAGTGGGAGAAATGACCACCTGCCCAGCCTCTTGGCCTCTCCACCAGAATATGTAGCAGTTCACCTTCTGCTGGGAGGTTATCTATGGTCCCAGTCGACATGTCTCATGGGATAGAGGAGGACACTGGGTATTGACTTCAAAATCTAGAAGTCACTAGTTCATAAGAGGCCAAATGCTCTTTGGGGACAAGCTGCCAAGAAACGGAAGCTCCTGCCTCCAGCCCAGCCCTGGGGGGGGGGGGGTGGTGGTGGCTCATTTAGACTTCAAGCCAGATATCCTGAGGGGATACCAGTTGGGATCTTGCTGGGTCTCTCAGCGGACAAGCCAGCTGTGCAGTCAGCATCTCCATCGTCATCCATTTAATTCTCATTTGCCAAGCACCCACCATGAAGCACCGTGTGGGCAAACTAGAGGACTCAGACACGGGCTCCTAACCTACAGAAGGAGACATGCACTGTAAGACGAAAACAACATGATAATGACATTACCCCTGACCAAGCGCTTCCCACGTGCCGGGCACTGTGCTAAGACCCTTACGGCCGTTCCGTCATTCCACCCTCCTGGCAACCCTATTCTTATCATCTCCTTTCTACAGGTGTGGGCTAAGGCCCACAGAAGCTAAGTCAGTTACCCAAGGTTCTCAGGTAGCAAGTGGTGCAGCCAAGATTCAAACTTGTCTCCAGAGGCCTGCCTGCAACGCCCGCGATGGTGCAGCAGGTGGGTACAGGTAAGCTGCCAGGCAGCAATGTGAGTGGGGACGGGGCTCTGGGGTACAGGGTGGGCTTCGGAGTCAGTGGGCTAGGGTTTTAAGATTGCTCTGCCACTCATTAGCCAGGGGCCCCGGGACTCGGTTGTTTCCCGATGCTGTCTGTACGGAGGGAGGTATGAAGATCAGAGAAGGTAGCCTAGTGAGGGTGCGTGGTGCCATCGGGTTGGACATGTTCTACTGGACCAAAAGAGACCAGAAACAGCACATGAGGTTCGAGGAGAGAGAGGTGTTCCAGAAAAGCTTTCGTGAAAGTGGTAGCTTTTAAGATGGGCCTTGAAGGATCAGCAAATTTGAATCGACTTCAAGGAAGGGAGCAGGGTGGGAGAGGCATGAGGGAAGACTCCAGAGATAAAAAATCTGAGGGCCCCTGTGGGAACCAAGTTGGCTGGAGCTCAGCGGGAAGCTGGGGAGTAGAGAGAACGGTGGCTGGGAAGGAGAGTGAGTCTGCTGCGAGCTGGCATGGCAGTGACCTCTGGCCATGTACTGAGAACCCACTTTGCATGTGTGCACCACAGGGTTTGCCCTTTGCGGACACCTTCTTTAGAGAAAGATGGGAGACAAAGGCAGCAGAGTCAGCTCTCTCTTTAACGAGCAGGTGGGCACAGCAGGTGACTGGCCAGCTGCCTTTCCTTCCCTGCAGCCTCCCTCCCATTTCAGGCTGTGCATTGCGTGGCACCAGGGAGCAAAGGGCACACTGCTAAATAGTAAACACACCCTAGGCACAAGCACCGTTTCACTGGTTGCCTGTGTGGGCGCGCACACACACACACGCACACACACACGGGGTGAAAAGCCAATTTGATTCTCCAAAAGATTGCATGATTTTCAGGTGATATTAAAATAACTGATGAAGAATGCACTTTAATCTTTTTCTAGTGCATTGCTGGGCTGAAGAGCATTGCTTAGATATTTCTGACAGAATCATTTACAGGAAATAAACCACCAGCCCAGAGCTGCAAACTCATCAGCTCCCAAGACTGCCACCTCCTGAACCTTCTTGGGGGCTCAGATGCCTCCCTGGGTATCCAGAGTGGATGAGGAGGTGACCCTAGCAGGAGGCCTGCCCAGCCCAGGCCCTCAGCAGCCGCTCCCACAGATGAGGTGCTTCCTTTATGAGATGGGCAGAAACTCCCCGCTGAAATGATCACCTCCTGCACAGCCCCTCAAGACCTTTCTGACAGTGCCCGTCACTTAGCAGCCTCTGCCTGCTCTTCCACACCTGGCTCCCACTGTACTGAAAATAATCTGATTTCTAACGCTCTGGGCGTGAGACGTGTCTTCTCAATCAAATGTGACCATCTTGAGGAGGGCTGGAGTCATGCCCACGTTATAATCTTGTTCCATGCATCTGGGATAGAGAAACAGCAAATGTCTTGCCACAAAGCTGGGTAATGAATCCTAATTCTTTCTTCTGATACGGTTCTTGAATATCTACTAATGTTATCTTTTGATACAGTCACTAAATTATTCACCTGTGTATTCCAAGAGTCTAGAACAGTGCCTGGCGGATGACAGTCCAGTTAGGACTCCTTCTGAAGCTACCTTAACTCCATCGGGGAAGACTTCCCCCATTAAGTTGTTCTGAAGGGTAAGTGAGCAGGAGGTAAAGGAAGGGGAGGAGGGGCTGGGGAACTTGGAGAAGAATCATCCAGGCAGAGGGGTCAGCAGAGGCAAAGGCCTGGGCTATGGTGAGGGTGTTATACGTGTGGCCCTGTGACAGAGAACAGGCCCCAGGGAAGCCATGGAGGGGCAGTCAATCTTGGACAGAGTCAGAGGATGGGTCCCCTTGCATTAGAACAGGAGAGAGAGCGGAAAGTAGGGAGAAAAAGTAGACAAGTCTGTAGGTGTGATGGCAGAAAGCTGAGAACAGTTCCATGTGATGGCTTTTCTTTTCTCTGTGAAGAGGGAAGCAAGTTTACCTTCTGCGTTGGAACAGGAAGGGGAGAGGTGGAAATTTTCAGGAGAGAGACAAAGGTTTGCAGCAGCCACTGAGCAGAAAGGGAACGGCACTGAGAAGTGGAAGGGTTCTGTGTGGGGTCGGAGGGTTCAGTGGAGGTTGGAGACCATTCCAGTATGTCAGCGAAATGTGGCTGGTCAAGATTTCTTCAGTTCCCGGTGTCAGTGGACTGACTGGGGCTTCGGTAGGTGGGAGGAATGGAGAGACGGCAGCCAGGGCTGGAGGATTCTTGCAAGAAATTGGCTGGGGTGATGGGCCAAGAAGAGCCAGGTTGACAAGCAGGGGCAAAGCAGACTAGGGCGATGGACTGGAGTCTCCAAGAGGTTGAAAGACAAAAGTCGTAGAAGTGACTGGAGTTGCTGGAAGTGTAAAAGGTGATGGTCAGGAGGGTCAAAGCAGGTGTAAATGTGGTTGAAAACAAGGGCCAGGATGGGATGTGGCAGGCGAGTGGGAGTCTGATGGGGAAATGAGGAGGTCACTGACTGGTTGGTACGGAAAGAGTTGCACCGAGGACAGATAAGACAGAAAGTGGTCCCCAACTCAACAGATTCCCTAAAAGCAGCCACTCAGATTCTAGGCTCACCAGGAATCAGTCCAGCAGCTTCACCTAAAAACTGGGGACACTAACAGGGTCAAAGCCTGACCCAAGGTCACAAACCGGGTCCCAGCCCCCAGCCTCCAGGCCAGCCCCCAGGACAGAGCTCCGCGCTCTCTCCCCCAGGAGATGGGAAACCAGGCGGGAAACCAGGTGAGGACCAGCCAGGCCCTGGGTCGCCGACCCCGCCCCCGACCCCCGACCCCCACCCCTCCTTACCGGGCCTGGCCTATTCCGGCGCCAGACCGGAAGCACGTGGCCGCCCACCTGCACGGTTGCCCGGGAGACCAGGGCTGTTTACCAGCGGGACGGAGCCCAGCGACTGCGGCGGATGGAGCAGAGAGGTGAGGTGAGCGCCGCAGGCCCCCGGCCCCGCGGGTCAGCTCACGGCCCCCCGCGGCCTGGCCAGGACCCGAGAGGCCAGACCCGACCCCCTGGACGTCGCCCGGGCGGGCCTCCCCAAACCGGAACCGGGCGCACCCTGGGAGACAGGACAGGGGGGCCCAGAGAGTAGGGGCTACTCCCCGGGGGCAAAGCCAGCCTGGCCCGAGCTCACCTTTCCGGAACAGGACAACCCCAGGGCTCTGCGGAAGCCACGGGGCCTAGGAAACCATTGGGCCATGCCCTCCTGGCTGGGCAGTACAGGCAGGACACAGACTCAGAGGGACAAAGGGCTGTCCCGTCACATGGAGAAGCCGGAACCAGATCTGAGCCTCCCCCAGACCAGTGTTCTTTCACCCAAGTCACCTCTCACTTTCTACAAGTTCTTTCTTGCCCCTCCCCCAGATCCCTCCTCTTGCTGCTTAAACTTGATTCCGTCTGGAGCTGCCCATACTTGGAAATAAAGGAGCTACCCCTTCCACCTACCCACTTCCCTGAGAATCATTCCCAATTCTTTTCCCAAACCTTTGATCACTTGATGGCTTGTTGTCCAGTTGCTCTACCCCCCTTTAAATGTGGCACTCTGCACAGGACAGTGTATCATAAGCATTAGTCCTGGTTGGAACTGGGAATGGTACCAGTTCTCATCCACGGGCCAACTCCCATCTCCTGTTGGTTCTTCCGAGCTGTTTCATCCTGAAGGCCTCACAAGGAGGGGTGGGGATTGGCAGGGGGTAGTATTAACTGATAAATATTTTTAAAAGACGGGCAGTTCACACGTATGTATCCTTAGTACTTACCAGCAGATGGTATGTGGGTGGTTATATTTTATTGCATTTCCAGGAGATTTCTATTGGGCCGTGCGTGGAAGAGGGTGGTCTGACCCTGTGGTGGGAGGTGGGCCCTAGGCAAGCAGGACTGTGGCTTTAGCATCTCCTACCCATCTTCCCTTCTTCCCAGTTGATTCGGTGGTTAATCTTACGGAATGAGCACCTGCCCTTCTGGGAACAGTTCTCAGTGTTTGTTTCCGGACTGCTAGCAGGCCTCTGGGGCGCTGCTGGTGTGTTTAATAAACAGGCCACTTGCCTATTCAGCTCGAGGGCTGCCTACGCCTGGGTCTCGTCAAATCACTCGGTGGTTGTGTCTGCCAGGCCGCGAGGTGGTGAAATGCGCCGAGCAGGGATCACGGTGGGAGCTGCAGACGCCTTGCTGGACTGAGGGGGCGGGCAGGGGCTCGGGACCCAAGGTGTGACTATAAAGACACAAAGTTGGCCCAGGTCCCCAAACACCTGTTTGCCCCGCCGCCCCTCTCCCTGTTCGAGAGGCCGGGGAGAGTTGTGTTCCCGCCACGTAGCAGATGGTCCCTGCTCGAGAGGAGGCAGGGGTTATGAAAGCAGGTTCGCTGGAATGGTTCTACCTGAAGGAGGCGTTAGTCTCTAAATAACCATGAGTGGGCTTCTAGGAATTAGTCATAAGTGAGGTTTTTCTCTGGGATAGCTCACAGTCATGTTATCTTATGACCAGCGTGTCTTGAATATGACACCCCCGAACATGGATAATTACATAGTACCGAAAGGTATAGAAAGTGCATGCGCACACTCCAGTTTTACTGGTAAAAATAACCCAGCAGAGAGCCTGGGCGAACACATGACTCCGCTTGTCAAAGTTGTTAAGGAAGAGGTTTCTAAGTTACCAAACTCGCTGACAGTAAAGCCTTCCCGAGGCATGTGTGGGAGTTGGAAGCCAAGTCTGTGATAATTCTGCAGAAGCTGTGGCAAATTAATAGCCATTCCCCAACGGGGGAGGGCGGGCTGGGCGGGGGAGCCGGCGTGCCAGGGAGCTTATCTTTGGCAGAACAGTTGGACAATTATGACCTCCTTGTGCTGAGTTACAGCTCAGAACTGCTTAATTACAAGTGAAAGATGTTAGAACTGAACTGAAAGGGGCAGAACCCCCAACGCATTCTTCACAGTTGATCAGAAAATAGATTAAATTAACAAGGAGAGGGGCAGGCTTTTTTTACGCCAAGGAGAAGGCTCCTAACTCCCAGCCACCAGATTGGGTGTGAAAGCTGAGGAGTGTGGAAACGGGAGTGGAGGAAGACTGGGTCTGCAGGTGGAATGGAGACGGCAGAGGCCCTTAGGAAAGAGGGTTGTGCCCTGGCCAGCTTGGCTCAGCAGCTGGAGCATCGGCCTGCGGACCAGAGAGACCCCGGTTCGGTTCCTGCTAAGGGCCAGTACCTCAGTTGCAGTTTGTCCCTGCCCCCAGTTGGGGTCATGTGGGTGGCAATCACTCGATGTGTCTCTCTCACATCGATGTTTCTTTCTCTCTTTTCCTCCTTTTCTCCCTCCTGCTCTAACTCAAGATAAATGCAAAAGTGTCCTCAGGTGAGGGCAAAAAAAAAAAAAAAAGGAAAGAGAGGGTCACTTTGTCCAAGATTTTGCACTGAGTAGGACTTCAGGAAAATACAGGGATATTGGGTTTTGTTTGGATGTGGTTTTCATGGGGAGGAAGAGGGTACCCCCTAAAAGTAGGCCCTAATGGTACAGAATGGCACTGTTAGAGTTCAGGGCTGAGGGGCTTGGGTTACATTACAGGACCATGTGATGAAGGTAGCTCAGAGTAAGTGAATTTGAGGTAAGTGTAAGATTTAAGTGTGGAATTAGAAGGGATTTATTAGAAAGCACTGATCTCATATTTTTGAGGCAGTTTCATGAGGCATCAACCTTCTGGCATTTCTGTGCAGTGGGCGGGCCCATGTCCCATGACTGGCCCAGCTGGTTAGAGTTGCTTGCACCCGGGGGAGGAGCTGTGAAGCAACAGGCAATGCATTTGGACCTAAAAGAATAAAAGCATTAAACAAACAGAAAACCAAAAACCCTTAACCATTTCATCAAGCCTGGTGGTCACGGCCTTACCTACATTATTTCATGATACTATTTTTTTTTTTTATCCTCACTTGGGGACATTTTTCCATTTTTTGTTCAGACAGAGTGGGAGGGAGAGAGAGGAAGAGAGAGAGAGAGAGAAACATCTATGTGAAAGGGACACATCGAGTGGCTGCCACCCACACGACCAACCAGGGCCGGGGACAAACTGCAACCACGGTACACGCCCTTAGCGGGAACCGAACCCGGGTCTCTCTGGACCGCAGACCGACGCTCTAACCACTGAGCCAAACCAGCCAGGGCTCATGATACTACTCCCTTGTTACAGATAAAGAGACTGATGTTCAGAGGCATTTAAATAATGTTTTCAGGGTCATCTAGCTAACTGTATAGGTGAGGAAAGTGACATCCGTACCAGAAAGACAGAGCCACGGCTCCTGGCACTGCTGCTTTGCATAATCGCTGCTTTGCATAATCGCTGCTTTGCATAATCACATATGGCTGTTTTCATGCTAAGATGGCAGGGTTGAGGAGCTGGAACAGACACCATGTGGCTCCCAAAGCTGGAAGGATTGACAGAAAGAGTCACCCCTGGTCTAGGTTACAACGTGGTCTGATCCTTCTCATCTTCTGGTCTCTCAGCTTAAAGTCCACCCATCCCCCAATTGAGAATAAGAATGATCTTTCCTCACTATAATAATTTAAGTCGCAAGGATTTGGGCTCACTGATATATCCCAGTACCTGGAATGAATGAATGAATTGTAGCTGGTGCCACCTCCCCACTGCAGCCAGTTGGATTATCCTGGCACTTGGGGAGTGAATGGCTGGATCCAGAAGTCCCAGGAGGTTTCATTCCTGTCTCTTCTCTTTTCTTCTGCTTCTCTAGGGGTCTTAAGAAGCAATGGCCACAGAAGTCCCTGTGAACGTAGCCGCCCCCGAGTGCAGCACTGTTATCAGCACCGCAGCCGACGGCTTCATTTGGGAACCAAACATGCACGTGATAAGGCCCAAGTCTGCCAAGGGACGCACACGGCCGAGTCTACGCAAACCCCAGGGCACGGGTGTGTGCTCTCACTGCGCACCATCCTCTCCGCCTCCCGCCATTCCCTGCGAGTCGCCAAGCAGCCAGAAACCAGGAGCCTGCGTGCCCAGGTCTCCAAACCAGGGAGCTTCCGATGAGGTCCCTGAGCTGCTGCAGCAGATGCCCGTAGGGGCTTCCTCTTCCCTCAACAAATACCGGGTCCTTCCTTCCATCAACAGGAAGACCCTGGAGGAGGGGGCTGTGGAAACAGTGGCCAAAAAGGCCAGCTCACTGCAACTGAGCAGCATCCAGGCTCTGTACCAAGAGGAGACCTGCACCATGAAGACAAGCCAAGAAGACTCCAGAGCTCCAGTTTGTTCCCCGGAGAGGAAACTCATCATCCAAACCAGGAGACAGAGCTCCTCCAGGGCCAGAGTCCTGGAGGAGCCATCAGATCAAGAGCCGCGGCTGCTGCTCGCTGTCAGATCACCGTCAGGCCGAAGGTTCACTCGCCATTTCCGGCCAACTGATGACTTACAGACCATCGTGGCTGTGGCCGAACACAAGAACAAGGCCACCTACGGGCACTGCAGCATTGAAACGATGGAGGTGCCCAGGAGACGTTTCTCCGACCTCACCAAGTCTCTGCAAGAGTGCAGAATCCCTCACAAGTCGGTGCTGGGCATCTCTCAGGAGGACAGGGAGCGGCGGGTCTGAGTCCACAGCCACCAGCTGGGGTCCTGAGTCTCTGAGCGAGGAGCATGCTCAGGCGCCATGGCCTCCCGGGCAGATGGTTCCAAGTGCCATGTGAGCCTGGTGCAGCTCTGATTCTTGGGACCCTCGTCTTCACAGCATCCCCTTTGCAGCAGCGGGATCTGCACCAAGTGCACTGGGAAGACTCTTCCAGTTGTTAAATGCTCCCCACCCCTGGAGCGAGCTGGTCAGTTGCCAGGGCTATTCCTGCAGCAGGTGTGACCAGGCCTTCTCCTTCCCAGAGTTTTGGGAACCCTTCTGGGCACCTGCTCACCTTTACAGTGAACTCTCTCTCAAAGCCAGCGGTTTGCCTTTCTGTATTTGATACAGGATTAAACACTTCCCAGAGAGGATTCTAGTCTGGTAAATAACCAGGGTTCAGGAAATGTCGCCATGGCATTTGCATTCCTTGCAGGCATCTTGAAGAAGCAGGTGGTGACCCTGTGTTGGAAGCAGCCCCTTGGCTGGGCTCAGGTGGCCAGAGTTTCTCGGGGTTTTCTGTTTCTGCAGAGGAAAGAGAGGTCTTTTGCTAGTACAAATCCCCCACTACATCAGATGTCTACAACAGTCTGAGAGCTGTCTAAAACAGCACATCGCTTCCACAGCCGTAGATTAGCCAGGAGCTGCCTTGAGACAGAGACTGCCCAGGTTTACAGCGTTTGGTAGCTAATCTGTGAGCGCAAAATCCTCCCCGAACGGAGAGAAGCCAGTGCGAGCTGAATTCCTTTGCTTTTGTCAGTAATGGAACCTTTTCTTCGTGACCTCACAAACCTGCAAGTCTACGGGTGTGTACGAAAGGCCCCCTGGCTTATCGGGGTGTGGAGACATTGTCTTATCCCCCAGTTTCAGTGTCTCGCCTTCGTCAAACGCGGAGGCTCAGTGGGGCCCCGTTCTCCGATGTAGAGCCCCCTGCGGGGGGAGGGCCCCGGGTTTGCCATCACGGGCTGTGCCTGTGCTGAGCGGCCGTGTGGCCAAGTGTCTGGCTGACTGGCCCGAAGCCCTGCTGACCGCCTCAGCCTGTAGCCATGTTGGAGGCCCCAGAGGCTTGTTTTCCCAGCTCTGAGTGGTGACGTGGACCATTTGCCAAAGTTCTCTTGTATTGCTAGTTTAGCAAGACTCCCACGTCTCATCTGGATCCCTTTATAGCCAGTATCCCCTTTATCACCGCTCAGAGTCAGAAGCGTCCGTCCAGCATACCCCGCCCCCAAACTCGGCCACCCCGAAGCCCTGAGAACTGACGTGCACACAGAGAACAGGGGTTCTAGGAGCATCTCATTGTCGCTGCCTGCGCACAAGGAGCGTTTGGGGCATAGATAAGGAACGCGGTTGGAAACGTGACTTCCAGCAAATTGATACTTAGTCATGGAGACCAGCACCACCATCATTTCTACCGAAGAAGGCTCACCTTGTCCTAACGGCACCCCACACCACTCCATCTAGAACAGGTGGCAGAATTTAAGACCGTCAGCGTTTGGTCAGCAGCTCTTTTGACAGTGAGGGTCTGCTGGGGCTTACAGTGCCCGAGGTCTCCCAGTGACCGCCCAGGACAGAAAGGACAGCGGCTCAAGCCTGGTGTTCACAGCGCCGGAATTTCCCCTCCCACCCAGGACGCAAGCACATCGCTCTGCCTTTGATCTAGCAGGCTGGGGGAAGAGCCTCCCGCACACTCACACCTACTCTGCAGTAAGAATAAAATGCCACCCACCTGGGACTCAGTCATTTCTCCCGCAGGAAATCTGTCGAACACCTGGTGAAATGGGGCATGCTCGAAGGAGGGAGAGCCTTCTGCACTTAGGGGTTCGCTGCTGCCGTTCAGCTCAGATTTGTGGGGCGGTGAAAGACGCGGAGGGCAGGAGGCACAGAAATATTCTAGGACATATGACGAAAGCTAGATGTGAACCAGCTTAATAAACTTTTCTCTTTTTCCGGACCAAAGATGGTGGTTCCAACAATAAAACCAATTTGTGTGAAACTGAGTTGACAGAGAAGCGCATCTGACAATTGAGCCCAAGAGTCCGGCGGCCACACTCCGGCGGACAGAGGGGTTTGTTAACTGGGTCTTCGGTTTCCTCCGTGGCAGAGCGCTCGGCTCGGCTCCCAGCCCCTTTCCAGATGCCCACCCCTCCCATAGCTCGCTGTCGGCTGCTGTCACCGCACGAAGCTGGTCTGGAGGGAAGGAGGCTCCTGAATTTCTCCTAGAAGTCATTCCACGTACTCTCCTCTCAAGGTTGGCAAGAGACTAGATCAGAATTTCAGAGTGTGGCCTAAGCGGGGCCCCGTGCACCCCTCTTGGCGGCCTTGGGTCGGTCAGCTTTGCCCACTTTGGAATCACAAGCCTGTCATTCATTTAACCAGCAGCCAAGGGGGGCCTGCCCTGTGCCACACTTAGCAATTGGCATTGGCACCCCGGCAAGAGAGAGAGCATTGGCAAGAACATGTGGAACCATCTCTGGACTCTCCAGCCTGGCTGAAGTTGGCCGCTGCTGCTGGACCCGTGAAAGACCCTCGAGCGAGGGTCGGGCTGCGTGGCCGTGTCTTCCCCGCACCGCGCGGAGGTCAAAGGCGACCGCGCCGCGGTTTCCAGTGACGGCGATAGGAAGCCTGCTCATGAGGGCTGTGAACCTTGCCTAGGACAGAGCTCCATGACAAGGTCTTCCAGCACATCCCCTGATAAAGCCCGATAGGCACATTGGTCCTGGCAGCAGAAGGAACAGCAGGAGAAATAAGTGACTCATCATTCAGAATCCAAAACATTTTCACCGACAGATGGCAGGTGGTTTTAACACAACAGTCCTTGCCCTGAAAGTACCCGGGGACCCAGCCAACAGCCGTCAGGCCAGGGCAGCCCTAGTGAAGAGGCGGCCTGTGAACATGACCACGGGCCAGCAGTCCCCCCCGAGCTCCCACAGAAAAGAAACTCAGAAGAGAAAGCCTCGAAGCGGTCCGGCGACAGATTGCTATCACGCGGGACAAAAGGAGGCACTCCACGGGCTAAACCCGGCTTTCGTGCGTCCTCTTTCCTGCCATTTTAAATGGGTTTCGGCGGCAAATAAAGCCCTGTCCCAAGAGGCAAGAGAGTTTCTCTTTACAGAATGTTTCATTAAGGTCTTCATAATAAGTCAAGATAAACGGGTGCCCAGTTTCCTGTGGTCTGAGGTGTATTTTAGATGAGCCTTTTCTGTGACAAGAGGATCTACTCTTCTGTCTTTCAATAGAATTGCAAGGAAAACGAGCTCATTTTACTTTCGCGTTAGCTTGGGAATCATTCGGAGAGTTAGGCAGGAGCGTTGGTTTTCTTAGTCCACGGAGGCAAGACACCATGAGACTGGAAAGTCTGTGAGCCTGTTGACCCTCGCCCCGAAACCAGAACCAGCCGAACCCCGCCACCGAAGCAGAGGAGGGCAGAGGCCACCGCGGAGGAGTTAGCAATCCAAGTGGAGCAGACTTTCGGTGACTCACCAATGTACACGACAGTCGCTCACATTGTAAAAATAAAATTGGCTGTTTTATTTAGTGTCTCCCCTGGTGATGACATTTTCCTTTCCCGTTTCGGGCAGTGGCTGCCAGCCCTTCCTGATGTCCCCCTGGGCTCCTCTGCCTTCAGACGGCTCAGGGAGTGGCCGCCGATGTGGAAGAACAAACCTCTGCAGGTATTTCTGGGCCCACTTCAATCCTCTCCAAAGAGGCTGAGTGACTGATGTGACAGCTGCCGATGGGTACAGTTTGGCAAGCCGCGTTCTGGTGGCCCTGCTGCTGCATGGAGAGCCGGCGGCAGGGGTCAGAGTGGAGGATGGACGACCGGCTGCTGCACGTGGACAGGACCCGGGGAAATGATGGTGGCGTGGGCCAGGGTGGTAGCCGTAGATGTCGTGAGAGGTGTTCAGATTCCGTGGACACAATCTATTTTCTTAAGGGGGAAAAAAGGTAGTTTGACAAGGTGGGGATCACTGAAAGGGGTTTAGCTGACCACATCAACAGGTGGACTCTTTCTGCAAAAGAAACCAACACGACAGCAACATGACACACACACGGTGGGTGGGGAGAGACAGGTCCCCGCAGTCTCCCTTCACATAAAGGAAATGCATGAAGGAGCTCGGACAAGGCGTCCAGAGAATCCCAAGGCTATTAATCGCTTTAATTAAGGACAGATGCAGCTGAAAAGGCCGCTTTTTCACTTACTGTGCGGGTTAAAATCAATTACCATCTAACTCCAGGGCTATGGATACTGACCAAGGTCTCTAGAAAAGAAATCCTTGTTCAGTAAAACGACACATTGTTTACCTCTCCCCTGCTCACTCCCTCCCCTGCCTGCCTCCTTTCCAGTCTCTCAAACCCAGCAGCTGATTTGGGATGCATTTTTTTTTCGTGGGAGGGCAAACGAAACCACTGTCCTTTGGCCTAATTAACAAAGCTCCTATTCCTGCCCACCTGTCCTTTCCAACGAGGACATCTGTGCAGTCGGGCCTTGGCTCTTTCTGACCAGCCGAGAACCACCTCTGACAGCTGTCCTCTGATGGAGAGGCAGGGATCACGGGTCCACCCTTGACGAAGTACCACCGACAGGCAGCCTGGGTCCGCGCTGGGCCCGGATCTGTGAACAACCAGCCACCTGCAGAGAACTGTGGGAGCGAGGCGGCGACTGTCACCCTCCCAACTGGGAAGTGCAGTTGAAATCGCCCACTGCCCCCAACCCAGCTGCACATCAGTCCTCGGACACTGCAGTGTCAAACAGGCCCAGACTCAAATGGCTCCAGACTGAAGAGGGTTTGCTAGTTTCCCAAACCCAGGCCTGGGCCTCCGCTTGCTTTTTCCCTCCCTAACAGAGTTCCTAGCAGGCCCTCATCTTGTTCAAATCAGTAACGAATTCATTCAACAAATACATACGAGCGCCTATGTGCCAGGCACATGTGAGGTCTGTCCGTGCACAGAGCTGGCCAGAAATCCCTGCCTATCCGGAGGTTACA